CATGGAAAAGCGATGGCGTACCAAGGCGTGAGCGGAGTCGATGCAAGTGCTCCAGACCGAGCGGCAATTCAGGATGGAACCACGCCACCTGTAACATGGCACTGTGGTCAATTTGGGTCCATCGTTGGCCAGCTACAGGAGGACGCCAAGTGGCACTTCGGCGCCCACTGTGCCTGCAAGCAGTGCTACTATTAAACAGCTGATGCTCCGCACACAGTTGCAAAAGACGCTGGCTGTTGTTCGTCTTTTCGGATTTAGGCCCATAATTACCACCTAGCTGAGCTTCTGAAGAGCCCAACGACCTAATTGTTCATTCGTATTCCGTACAAGTACTATGAAATCTGAACTGGTAGCACTGCGTAGTAGCGTGTTTAGTTTGTGGTAGAATATCTCCTTTGGAGCATCAGAATTGCAGTCGGTGGGAGCGTAAGCGGAAACCGCAAACAAACTTCATTAATCAACCTTGGTGGATTTCAAACGAACTACAAACAAACGGCTGTTCACCGGAATCCAGTCAACCAACGATGACTCAGGCTTGGGGCTGAGTACGATTCCTACTCCAGCTTGAGCAGAGGCTGCTGCATCAGTGTCTCAGGATATGTGCAACTAGTTGCGAGAGGACTAACGGGGCGCAATTACTTCAACAACCCCATGAGGATCACTGATGCTAGTTTGGGATATGAAACACACGTCAATACCCAGGGTGTCTAACGTGTGTGCCAGTGTAGCCTGTTGACCTACTTGTCTTAGGATTCAAACGTTGAACGCCGCCAGGGAAACGGGACAGCGTGGCCTTATAAGGGACTGTTCCTACTAGGTGTCCAGCGAGTGGTGCAGGAAGGTAGCTGCAGATGTTTCGACTGCAGTTACATAACGGCTAATGTCAATTAAGCTTGGAATTATAGAAGAAAAGTTAGTAATGGGAGGGGAGTAAGAGACATAGATGGAAAAGAAAGAAAGGATGCGCCAGCAGTAGTATGTTTTCGCTCATCCGTCCTGCTGTATGCAGCAGATAAGGCAACCCTTTATAATCTACGCGACGGCGGATGCAGGATGTTGTTGGATTTTGAGAAAATTGTTACGGTTGTATGTAGACTGCGATACTGCCAGGGCGCCCAGACCTAGACAGGAGGACGATTAGGGTCCTCATCCAAAGGCTTTGGCTCGAAAGCCTGTCCGCAAGGCAGCGGGGTGGCAGTGATTTAGTTTTACAGAAATGGACGCCATCCCATTTCAAACCCCTCAACTTGGAGGACCAGGAGACTGATTTTTCCCGACCTCTAACCATTGATCAACCTGGTAGGAGTGGCTTTCAAGGGGCCTGGGAACATCACCCAGTATAGCTCAGTGGCTCAAAGTGGTACGCAAACTGTCGCACTACCTTAAGGTCCAGTCTCGTGGCGACTCACACTACTAAATATTGATACTGCTGATTATGATAAAAATAAGGCTTCGTGCGGAATACTTTTTTTAGAATCATAACTGGAGCGACATTGGAATCGAAACTGCTCGGGTCCCAACAGTTTCATACAGATAGACGACGAACGCATCATTACGATGTAGTCAATTGAAAAGTTTATTGATTTTCTCTCCTTATGTCTCTGATTTGCATCCTTGGGGTTTCACATAAATAGGCGGTTTTAGTAGACAGTTCACATCCCAGAAGCCGGTTGGCGAATACGCGGAGCATATGACTTAGCCAGTGAAGGTGATTTGAGTTCCGCAGTCTCTCTCCACTCCACTCCTCTTTCTTTACTGAGAGATCAGTGGGTTCGTCACCTAGCACTAAAGACGACTTTCAGTGTTGTTTGCTCAGTTCCACAATAAGCCTTAGTCAAATGGGTGCAGTGGCTAGGACTCTATTCCAAGCAGTTACATTGGCCGCACCATAGTGTGGTAAACTTTTATCTCAGGATTATGTTCCACTGTTTTCACTAGTGACCGAAGATTTGAAATGCCATGCAATTCTTCTCAACGCATGCATTAATCTCTTCGCTGATGTCACCGCCGACGGTGCTACAGTTACTCAGCCAATGCCGACGAACGTTGCAATTCGGACGGACATTGCTTCTCAGATTACAGACAAATTTGGTGAACAGGCACTTTCCAACTTCAGCAGTTTGTTGTAGTTGTAAGAGCTAGTGTTAGGTAGGTGATGACTTGGCAGTGATCTTGATCGAGACAGGTGCTCCTGATCGACCGACGTTTTTGTTTGATACTCACCCCATATAACTGATTGCCATGTCGATTTATTTTTTACACAGCTCGTTGTTTGCTGACCACCATGTAATTTAAGCCGGAAAATTAGGCTCCTAACAGAGTGTACTGACGCGAACTTCTTCGCTTCAGCTAAGCTAAGCCGAATTAACCCAGCCCCATTCCATGGTGATCATTAACAGTAATACCTCACTGATCTGTAACTGGCGCACCCCAAATATGACTTAACTAAACTGAATTTAGGTAGTCTTTCAAATCTCCGGTATTCATCAATTTTCTAGGATTTTCCTTTGCAACCTCCCTGCATTGTTTTCTTCTGCCTTCCGCGTTTTGATGCTGTGCTCTAATTTGTTCAAGACTTCTCTGCTGGACTGGACATCAACTGTACGCCGGTCCTCAGTACCGACGCTTCCCTGCCGCGCAACCACCACCCGTCGCACGTAGGCTAAGAATAATGCGAGGATCGCCCTGCCTCTACGCAGGCTCGAACCCGCGCCGTCAGATTACAAGACAAGCTCGTTACTTTTAGGCTACAGGCCTGCTGCTGGACTGGCTTGCCGAACTACCTTCTCGTGGTGCTAACTGAGTCATTTCGGTATATCAAGTTCCGGTATTAGTTAGGCAACAGTGTTTGAGAACATGACAGGTTATTGTCTGCAAGGCGTTCTCTCTGTAAAAAGCCACATATCTAACAATACTACGACGTGGCGGATACGATTCGCCACTGACTAGGTTCACTGCCACTTGCTTCACCTCGGTGGAGTATTGCAGTCCAGAAGCTGAACGCGGTGTGCATCGGGCCGCCATTTATCAACCCAAAAAACTAAGCAATTAATCACCGGCTCTCAGTCGATGCGTTTCCCTGATTTCACTCCTCTACGTTGAGAGTAGGCTATTCAGCCAAAGGCTCTAGATAATCTCCCGTAATTCACTCTTTTCTTTGCCGTCCCCTTAGCCCAAAGTAGCGAGCTTGTCTTGTAATCTGACGGCGCGGGTTGAAGCCTGCGCAGCGGCAGGGCGACCCTCGCATTATCCTTAACCCACATGCGGTGGGTGGTGGCTGTTCGGCAGCGGAGCCTCGTTACTGGGTACCGGCGTACTATCGGCTGTCTTTGTCAGCCGCGTAATGCCACGCCCTCTGACAGAGCCATGAATTGTTGTGTTGTGTTCGGTTTTCTTTTTGCAAAGTCGGCATCTTCCTTTACTTTTCATAGTTTCGGATGGCTCTATGTCTATTCGTATGCTTCAGAAATAAAAGTTTGCTACTTGCGCATTCATATTTTCCCCTAGGGGAACTTCACTACCGTGTACTTTTGGACACAGCTATTCAGTGCACATGCTTCTCGCACACACTTGCTGATATATGGCGAAAAGCCGGCCCGAGTGGCGTTTGTGTTGTGAGTTTCTTTGTCCACCCCCCTCTTACATTCCTCTCCAATTCCGATCTCACACGAAATTCATAATATAATATTTAACATTATATTACTTGTTTTTGAATTTTTGTATAGTGTCACTTTGTATCTTATCTTGATGTATTGCGGCACATTAGCTGAGGTGTGTCTCTCACCTTCAACTAACGTGTATTGATGATGAGGATGGTGCACGTGTTTCTGTACAGTTTAGGTGGATCGTACAACCAGTGTTTGGGGCGTATGACAAAGCCGATTGTTCACTTCAATTGTGGTGTGTTTTGCAGATGCTCACCACACACCGACCATCAATCGGCTGAACAAAATCTTGGCGTTTATCTGAATGGGCATTTGTGGAGCAACGCTGACACGGATTTTGTAGTATTTCTATATTGACCCACGTCCACTGTGAGACAAGCTAGAAATCAGATGGCGTTCAACTTGCTCACGTATTCAGGTTCATTATTTCAAGTGCTACGTATAAGAGCGATGTGGTTCCCACTGACTGAGCTTCTCTTTCTCTGCACGTCCACACAGACCCCAGTCGGCACGCCTTGATGTTTAACGAACACCGCCACTTTTTAGCTTGGACCATGAACTGTCGACAATTTTTGCGCATGCTTCAAATTTCCATTTTTACAGGACTTCTGGGCTAGTATACACTATCACTCCACCCAACTGCTCGCGAAGTGCGCTTATTTCTCCATGTTTTATTGTGCATCAACATCCCTTGTTTTTATAACCAGATGGTGCTGCTTTGCTAGCTCATCTAACCGTGGACACTATGCTCGTTGGTAATGTGTGGACAGTCTTCGAACCAATCGTAGCTACCGCTCGCGTGCTTTCCGATTTTGTTCTTTATGGTATACACTAGACATGGTTGGAGGGGTAGCACTGGGCGTGTAATGCAACGTAAGCCTACTATTACCATCCTCTTTAGACTCGTGTCTGGTGATGTTTACTGCACCCACTGGAACCAGTGACTACGAACACAGATAGCAAATTGATATGCTAATACTTTAACTCTTACGGTTAATCAGCTGGATCACACTTTTCTTATCTGAGCTCTACTTCTCCACTCAGGTTTTCTCAGATATTTGTTGATTGCGCTCCATCTACTCGTTCAGTCATCTGTCAAATGCATTGACCAAAAATGACCACCTTAGTCACCATCACATTTTTTTAATCTTTAGTTGTTTTTTATTCTACGTTGCATCTGTGGAAGAAAGTTCTCCCATCTTGAACGTGATATTTATCATCCCACATTTTTATGGTAAATAGCAACAAAATACCTCAATATTAAGTACTATTTGATATTATACACTGTATTTGCCTTCTTGCTGCATCCTAAAATCGACCCCACGATACCTTTTAGCTATATAGATCAAATATGCCGAAGAAACACGGCAAGACTCGTAAATCAGATCAAATTATGGAAATATCCCCGCCAACCAATGTGAAGAAACACATGCACGTGACTTTCGATCCTTTAACGGGATCATTCCATGGGCTTAACGATGATTTCAAGAAGATGATAGACGATTTGGGTATCACATTTGAGGATAAGACAAAAAATGCGGACCGAATTATAAACGCTGTGAACGTGTTCAAAGAAGCACAGAAGCCGAAATATATCGGTTTTGATTCAAATCTGGTCAGTTTACCAGAATTGGATGAGAGTATGCAGATAGTGCCTTCTAACCACAATTCTTAGACGAAGATTTCTCACGTTCGGCTGATGGTTCCACTTCCAACCAAATTACAAAGCCAACTGTTCCCCCTCCTACGAACCAGAATGTGCCGTTACCCACTACCAATAATCATGAAATGGATAAAATCACAGCACAACTGAAGCAACTAGGACCAACCAACGCGGAGCACGAGAGGTATAAACCTCATGTTATCGAGGCCCATCCTTACCAGAAGCCGAAGGAAATGTTGAATAAGGTAGGTATCTGTTGACTTATTGTTCGTTTTCATATCCACTTTTATTCAACTTGTTTAACTTTTTCACCTATAGCCCACAGCTCCAGTTTTGCGCCGACGCGCTCGCAAGAAGATGTCGGATGAGGAATTCTTCTCTGCTTTGGGTAAGTTTGTGGTTTTCGGGGAGCGTGAACTAATTTTGCGTGTCCTAGGTAAGCATTCTACCTCTTGGGCTTGGCAACTAGTTCTAATCACTGTTACATTCATATGTAAGCTGTTTGATGAATTCCATTAGGGTCCGATCCATCGCGATTCTACTTTATTTCTTACATTAAAACACCATTTTTTGGCTTACTGGCTACGATACGGCACACTTTCTACTCCACTGTCAAGCATACTTTTGCCACAGGCTTGTCTGCCGTTTCCTAACTTTGTTCTGTCTAGTATAGAACATTCCCGTACTGAGATACCTCCGCAATTTTGGACATCGAAAGGCAATTTCTGTTTAACGTGTTTTTATTTGTACTTCCTGGCAAGGACATTTGTCTTTTTCGGATTTGTTCTCTTTTCAATGTCCCATCCTAATAACTCCGGTGCTCTAAGCATAGCAGTACTATTTAACAGTATCTAATACGCCGAGGATGTACCTTTGTATTAATATATATATATATATATATATATATATATATATATATAATCAGTTGATATGGGACAAGCTCACAGGAGGGAGACTCGTCTTGCCCGAGACGCGGTGTCTGACATCAACGTTGCGCACTTGATGTTGCCACCTAACACGCGCGATCCTCCGCAAACAGTCACTGTCAAAGGCCAAGAATCTACGCATTTCATTTACGCGGGGCTGCCAGGACTCGTATCCATTCAACAGCAGCACGCACGCGCTGTAAATCCTGCTCTTTTACGATAGTGAAATGTCGCCATGACACTGCAGAGCTTCAAGTTGGCAAAAGCCGACCTGGCTTACGCCATTCGAAGAAATAATTCCTCTACAATACTGCCGTCGGCAGAAATGCAACTCCCTAAGTGAACAAAACTGACCACCCGTTCGAGCTGTATGCCTTCGATAGTGAGCTGAGGAAGGGGCGATTGCCAGTCCTCTAACTGCACTTTACACTTGGAGGGGCTTAGTACATACCTAGACGCTTCAACCTCCACTCGGTCAAGTACCGCTTGCCTGAAGTGATGGTCGTCATTGAGCAAGGCGATATCATCAGCCTAATCTAAGTCGGTTGCGCGATCACCTAGAAGGAGCTTAATGCTAAAATTCCACAACTGTTATCAAGCTCCCAGCAGAACGTCTTTAATCGTAAAGTCGAAGAGAAATCTAGACACTTGGCATTTGTTCACACACTACTGCTGACAGGGAAGAATGCAGAAAGTTCGTCTTAGGCTCTCTCTGACTGCAGTATAGAGGTGTTGTGTCCCAACTATAGCTACACACTTTTCGGGAACCATTCTCTATCAGGCATCGCCATAACGCATGTCGGTCTGCTGAGTCGAATGCGGTCCGAATGTCCAGGAAGGCGATGATGATAGGTCTGCAGTAGTGATGACGGTGTCCGAGGAGCTGACGAAGTGTGAATATTTGATCCACACATCCCTGACCGGGGCGAAAACTAACCTGCTCCTCCAGGTAGTGTGTTTCACGCGATGGAGATAGCCTGCGGAGCATGATGGATGCTAGTATCTTGGAGGTAACCGACGTCTGACTGAACCCTCTGTGATTGGCGCATGAAGTACGAGAACCATTTTTTAAGATTGCGTCAGGGTTAGATACCTCGTACGGGGGTCATCGAAGCAGTAGTGTTGCTGCAGTTGCTACCCAATTTTTACATGCGTCACCTTATCGAGTAAGTGGTGACTGTTAGTCAAACCGGATCCCTCACTGGTAGATAGTGCATTGATCATCTATTCATGCTACGCCGAGTTGTGGAAGGGAGCAGGCATGCGGAAAGTTTCCCAAAGCTATCCTGCTGGACTCTAAAGCCACCTTCCAATCAGCTGATCGCTCCTGCTTTGGATGTTGTCTTTGTACGACCTAACAGAGAAATTCTCTTCAATCCAGAACTTTTTGTATTACCACGAAGCTTTACGGGAATGCTCATTTCTAATCACCTCCATCTCTCCCGTCTACTTCAAAAATGTATGACTCCGTTTTTGATTTCTCTACAGCAATAGTTCTACTAGGCGGGCGGCTGATAAACTTTGCACTTGCGGACGATAGAATACTTTTGGGGTGATTTTGGAGTCAAACTCATTTTTTGCTCAAACGCTTCAGAGTAACCTGACGCAATACGCTGCACCCTTCATCACGCGCATCACAGCTCAAACAGACAATGGACGAGTAATTACACCAACAGTTATCAATGGCACCAATTGTAACTGGAGCAAATCATGGGTCCGTCTATCCTGGTGCCTTGATCATTTACTGTGGCCAAACCGCTACACTCCGGTTAGGCCTACGCGGTTTTTAGACCCAGTGGGCTACAGAAACCGCTGAACATGGTCATCATTCTTGTAAGTTGTATACCACAGTAGGAACTGCATTGCTTTGTGGATCAAACGCAGGCCCATCGCGTTTGTGAGCACTGAGATATTGGTTTTCTTTAAGCACTAATGCTCACGTATCATCGCCGGTATCTGGTTGGCGCAGCGAATGCATTATGCTGAAGTCCACCAGCTGGCCATACACTCTTGATGCAAAAGATGATTTCGGGTATGTGTTGTACCATTTTATTCGGTCCTAGAGGCTCCTTTACGTTCCTTAATTAATTCCCAACTTCTGTCTTATTCTTATTCATCACTGACATAACGGACTCATTGCCGACAACTTTATATGGTCCCATCGCTAGGTTCTTTTCCATTTTTTCCCAAATAATCTGACTTATTCATTATCATGGTGGTTTTGCGTTTATCGGCTTTTGTGATAACAATGTTCGCATCTTCTTTTAAGGCAGTTAGTGCGACACGTTCCTTTGGCACAAGATTCAGCTCCCCCGGCTACTGAAATTTTCTAGTGTTTACAAGCTCTGCACGAATATGCTCATCTGTTGAAGCGGATAACTTCCTTATAGCAGTCTCTACTCTAGGAATAGCTTCTTCGACTCTTATCTTGGATTTATTTATAATGAATATCAAACCCTTCTCCAGTAGTCTACGCTCTGTCTCACTCAACAATCTATCTGAAATATTAACAGCGTTACAATATCTGTTGCTAGAAACAAACTCACTAGTTGTATCGGCGGCTTTGCTACGTAAGGACATCAAATTGTGGAACTTACGGACTTGTCTTTCTTTTGTAGTCCTTCCTTGTGTTGACTTAACATCCGAAGCTTTGTTGTAAAGCCTGTCATAGTCTGCCCTTGTTTCGACAGTCTACAACTCCGAGGTCAGTCGATTTGCTTGGAGGCGGAGTTCACCCACGCGTCGAGTCGTCAGATAAATCCGTTGTTTCAAGATTGCTTTACTCGCTTTGAAAGCTATTTTGGCAGAAATATAAGTTGTCCGGCGGCTTGACTACAAGGTTCTGAGGTTTGATGTTTTTGAGGCAGTTGATGTAAACGAGATGACTGTCTCACTTAGCTTCAAGACCAGGCAACCGAACGGATTCACTTGCCAATTTTCGAGCGCGGGGTCCGTAAAGACACTCAACATCTTGGAAAATACTTGAAACCGATCGAGTACTAATGAGTTCAGAAAGTCTTAAAGATTACCTGGTTGGTATAGTTTGTGCGCAACGTCACACATGCATCATCCCCGCAGCTATCATTAACGGGGTTTACCTTGTAACGCGGACCACTTGTGACCGTTCCATACACCGTTTGGACTGATGCGTTGCGCTGTAACGTGAGTGACCTGCTTACATCCCATTCGTCGCGATTTTCATCCCAGTTCGCTATAAGTGCTATACCAATCCTCGAGTGGTTCCTTTGGCCTGAGGAAGCTTTTGTGTCAAAAGCGAAACGTTAGCTACACACTATACCAATCGGTTATTTTCATATCTTTTTGCAATCATGAATTCCAAGTGTTTTCCAAGATGCTGATTATCAGAGCACTTAACTCGCATAGTTCGGACAGGGTGAGGGCTTACGACAAGCTGTCGCCGCTATTCAATATCTCCAGCGGTGTAAGACAAGGGTGCCCGTTGTCACCTTTGCTTTTTAACTTCCTATCGACGAACTCATGGGGACCGTGTTCAGTGTACGCGATCTAAAAGATGTGGACCTGATTTCAGGCGATCGATTTGGAGTACGACGGCGACATGGTCATTGTCTGTAACAGCTCCCAAACGTGCCAAGCAGTACTGGACAAATTAGTTTTGGCTAGCAATCGTTTTGGGTTGTGCTTTGCACTCTCGAAATACAAAGTCCTCCTAGGTGTGCAGGGACCCGCCCTTGCGCTGACCTCAGGTGGCGATAAGCTGAAAGTCACGTATCTCGGCAGCTATTTCAATGCTGTTAGAATGGGAATTGAGATCACAACCCGTATAGCAAAAGCTCGGGGCGCTTTTGGCAATCTCTGCAATCTGTGGCGCCGACGCGACATCACGCACTCCTTGAAGGGCAGAGTTGACATTGCAGTCGTCCGTTCAACACTGATGTTCGGTTGCGAAACCTGGTCCATCAAAACGACAAGTGTAAACAGGCTAGTTACGTTTGAACATCGCTACCTTCGCAGCTTAGCTCATGTCCGGTGGCAGCACTGTGTGAGCAATGAGGATGTTCGGCGTCGTATATTTAGTGTAGGAAGAGCGAGTTTAGCGCGCAACACTGTTCTATCACGCACTAAGCTCCGATGGCTGGTCCACCTGTTGCGCATGGCAACACATCGATTCCCGCGATGGGCGTTTGTGCGCCGGGATTGCGGATGGAAGAATAAGAGAGGCCAAGCGATTACTTGGTCAAGAGGAATGAAGGCTCTCACTTCGAACTTGGTGTCGGTTGGTGTCTCCCAACTGCCGGATTGGGCACCGAAGGATGATGAACACATTTGGTCGGACACACTAGTTGACATGGCGAAGAGTCTACCTCAGTGGCGATTGTGAGTTTCTTTGTCCATCCCCTTATCGCTTAACATCCCCCTCCAACAACGCTCCCATACTGCATATCTTTGACACTTAGCATTATGTTACCTTTTTAGTTTCTAT